TTAGATGCAATGTGAATGACTTTACAACCATTAATATCAAACATGACATTGAATCCCTTATCACAAAATTGACTAATACTCAATATATTATGCTTTAATCCATTCACATATAAAACATTCTTAATTTGTATGGAAGAGGTATTACCAATAGTACCAATACCTTCAATGTGACCTTTTGAATCATCACTAAAAATTACTTCTCCTCTATTTTTGGCGTTAAGCTCAATGAACCGTTTTTTGTCTCCGGTCATGTGTCTTGAGCATCCACTATCAAGGTACCATGAATTTGGATTTGTTTCCCGTGCCTTGTAGCAATGCTCCTTTTCCTACAAACATAGATTAATTTCTAATTTTTGGTACCCAAATTCTTTTGCGTCCATATTCATTAGTTTCCAAAATCTTAGTCCCCTTAGGTATCCATTTGTATAGGATATCCTTATCTTTAGTAGTAATGAGCTCTTTAGGAACCCATATACTTCTAATGATTTTTCCATTAGAGGTTCTTTGGGGACCTCTATGATTGTAGTTTTTAAAACTTTTTCTAACAAAGTTGGATTTTGAATTTTCTCCATTTTCAAAACGTTTTGTTCCAACTTTATCAAAAGAAGTTTTAAGATCATCAATTTTCTTTTGATGATCATTATTAACCTTTGAAAGTAAATTTTGCAAATCCAAAATTTTCTTTTCAAACTCTTCTAGTTTGATTTGCAAATCTTTGATTTTACTTTCAAGATCGTTGTTGGTTTTGGATATGAGTTTATTCAATTTTGAAACATCATTTTTATATTTTAAAAACAATTTCTCATAATCTGAAGCCAACCCATTATATTCCTCTAATAACTCATCATAGGATAAATCATCAAAATCAGATGAGTTAGAGGTTACCTTAGAATCTTCCCCGAATGCCATCAAGCACAAGTTTGCTACTTCTTGTTCCTCTTCATCGGAACCTTCTTCATCGCTCCATGTAGCCACATGAGCCTTGTGTTTATTCTTTGATTGACCCTTTTTCTTTAATTATGGGCAATCATATTTGACATGCCCCGACTTTTTGCATTCATATCAAATGATTGGGTCCTTCTCTTTTGGTTCATTTTTTAGGCCTTCATTTCGTTTGAATTTTCTTTCTCGGTAAGGTCTCATCATTTTTCTGAACCGTTTGGCAAATAATGCCATTTCCTCGTCATCGTCATCTTCATCTGAATCACTCTCATTTTTTGTGGATTTGAGAGCAACTCCAATGTTTTTCTTCTTCTCCTTCTCCTTTGGTGTCTCTTCAATCTTATCAAGGTCCACCTCATCTTCAAGCATCATTTCATGAGTGATGAGTGAACCGATTAGCTCTTCTAGAGTTAAGGACGTTAGATCCTTAGACTCGATGATTGACGTCTTCTTTGATTGCCACGATTTTGGGAGGGAGTAGACTAACTTCCTCATAAGCTTTTCATTTAAAATGATCTCTCCATATGATTTGAGACCATTGACAATCGTTGAGAATTTATCCGTCATAGCTTTGATATCTTCATTTGGTTTCATCCTGAAATTTTTATAGCTATGCGTTAGAATACTAATTTTAAATTTCTTTACCTCATCGGTACCTTCATGAGTGACTTGAAGTTTGTCCCATATTTCTTTGGCGGTTGTACAAGATGAAACTCTTATGTATTCATTTGGTCCAAAAGCACAAAATATGATATGAATGACTTTGGAGTTGAGTTGGAACATTTTTGTCTCTCCTTCACTCCATAATCTTGGATGAGTGAAAGGCTTGAAGTATCCTTCTTCTACAACATTTCATGCTCCCATGTCACTTGCTTGAACGAAGTACATCATCCTATTTTTCCAATAGGCATAATTAGCCCCATTGAATAAAGGAGGCTTGTTGACGGGCATCGAATCGAGGCCGGAGTCGAAGTTTGAAGTAGAGGCCATTGATGACTTTGATTATCGATGTAACTCTTCCCGAATCGACTCAAGAGGCGATTAAACCTTCAAATGAATTAGGCTCTGATACCAATTGTTGAGTTGATCGATTGATGAATATGGCCAAGAGGGGGGTGAATTGGCAATTAAAATTTTGGTAAAAGCTTTTGCAGAAAATTGAAAGAAATTTGCACAGTGATTTAGAGTGATTCGACTTTCTTAACCATAGTCTACGTCCACTACCTTAGCTATCCACACTAAGGATTTTCCACAAATTCACTAATTTGTCTTTCTTTTGAAGACAAAGAGTAACCTTACAAACACTCAAGAATTATACCCCAAATTCTTGAGAACACTCTCTCCCAAAGAGAACAATACAAATTTGCAAACTTACAAGGAAATCCTCACAAGGTAGATTGTTTGCACAATTCTAGAACAAAGAAAAGAATACTCAAGAATGAATACAATTGAGCACAATAAGTGTTATTGAAAGCAAAATGAATATTGAATGAAAAATAGGCTTGAAATGCTCAAACTTGATGTTTGATGCTTTCTCTTTGATTCTCTCTTGATTCTTGTTGCTTGATGTTTCTTGTTGTTGATCAATGGCTTCTAAGCTTGCTTAAATACACCTTGAATCACTTCTAAATGTTGAGGATGATTAGTGGAGTCAATATAACCCTTTTAGTGTGAAAACAATTAATTAAAAACAATTAGGAGCGTCAGTACATCGATGCATACCCATGGTGCATCGGTGCATCCGTGTAAAATTCAAATATTTTGACCGTTAGACCCTTAGTGCATCGATGTTTCAAAATAGCCAAAGTACATCGATGCATCAAATGCATTCGATGTTTTCATAAAATCCTCAGTGCATCGGTGCATGGTATGTGCATCGATGCATGAAATGCATTATATGTTCAATTTAATTCATGGTGCATCGATGCATCACTCTGAAAAATTGATTTTAGGCTTGATTTTTTATTGAAAATACTTTGTGAAAATTATTTCAAAAATATATTAAGTATAAAACACAATTTTACACATTTAGTAAAGTTTGAAATTGATCTTAAAAGACTTGGAGTAATAATTTGATATTCGATTAATTGAATCGAATATATTTAGAAAATCATTTGTAAAATCTTAAAATTTATTTAAACTAATTTGTTATATCGAAATATAAAAATATTTTCAACAAATATGAAAGAGAATAAAATTTAGTTACTAAATTTGTACTTTACCTTTTTATAAAGGCTTAAATGCACCTCCTGAACTATATCATTGTACCGAGTTTTCTCCTAAAATATTTTTTTAGATATTTTATCTCCCTAACTTTAAATCGTGATCCCGTTTGCCCCAAAACATTAACTTCATTAAAAAAATCACTTACCAATTATAATACGCCAGGTCACCTCCTAATTTTTATTTTTTATCTGAATAAATAAAATCAATAAATAAAATAAAATACTAAAATTGCCCTTTCTCACTTTTCCCAACCTCACCTCCCCCGTATCACCACCCATTGCTCTTTCAGCTTTCTGTGCTTCTTTCAGTTCATCAGTCGCTCGTGACTTCTCCCTCTCAATTAGTGCTATTTGCTCCTTTGCTTTCTTCAAATCCTCCAGAACCGAGTTCAACTGAGCCGATCAATCAAATGGCGAGTTGCAAGGGAGAGGATGAATCATTTTCCAATTTAGTCAGTCCCTTGCTTAATTTACTTGCCACTCTAAGTGTTGCTGGTGAAGCCTTGCTAGGAGTCTCAGATAAACCAGATCTGCTTAAATGTTCAAAGTGTAAAATTTTCTGAGAATTAGAATAAAAAACCCAGAATTTAAAACACACTATCACGTGAAAAATAAACAAGATGTGATGTGAAAACTCAAGTAAAGATGAATTTATTCCTAATTTGGCAACTTTTTTCAACATCAATATCAAATTAGTGAATTAACACATGTATTCATATACAATTCAAATAAAACATTAGAAAATGAAAAGAAATAATCAAAACATCAAGATTATGAAAACAGAAACGATTTAAAAACTGAATCAAGTAACAAGAAGTAGTGGAAAGTGACGGATGAAAGTGTTTAAATTTCAATTTCTTGAAATAATCCAGAGTTCAAGTAAAAACACCAAAATTTTTTGAAATGGAAACCCACAAATAAAGAAAGAGAAAAACCAAGTCAGATCTGATCTAAAATACAGGAATTAAGGAAGAAAACTCGAAAATTTTCCTGGAAAACAGAAAGTGAGTGCAAGTAACTTACTTGAATTTAGCAGACATGTTTGCTAATGCCAGAGGGCTGAAGAGCAAGGCAAGAGATAAAAGAGAAGAAATCAAAACAGCAACCGTAATGGCTAAAATGGTGATATTTTTGGAAGAAAAGAATTGAAAATAGCTGAAGAACCCTTTTTTAGCAATCAAGGTGGGGGAAAGGGGAAGAAATTTGGTTCTTTGCACTTTGTTTTTGTAGAATCAAATTACAAGATTTGAACGAAAAGGAACAAACTGAAGCCGAAGAGGGAAAGAAATATGAAATGTATTTTCTCGCCCCAAAAACATATAAGCAACACAACACATAACATGCAACTGGAGCAAGAACTAGCTTTCGGTGATGCTGGAGTGTGGACGGTGTTGGAGAAAGGGAGGGTAGACGGTGGAGGAGGAGAAGGGAAGGTAATTTTTACATATTATGTAATTTTATTTTTTAATTGATTTTTATTTATTTATATAAAATAAATTAAAAATAAACAGTTATGTGATATATTTTGATTGATCAATTAATTTTTTTAACGGAGTTAATATATTAGGACAAACATAGTATCAATTTCAAATTAAAAATAAAATTTTTCGAAAAATATTTTAGGAATAACACAATACAAATGATATAGATAAGGGGTATGATGTATTTAACCCTTTTATACAAGAATTGTGTACCGTACGTGTACTTGTACAATACAGAATTTAGCAATACTAAAGTCATATAAGTTAGGGTTTTGGATTAGCATATTATAAAGCCCACCCTCCCCCTCACCTTTCGATTTTCCTCCCAAAAGTATATTCCACTATCCTTTTGTTCTTTTCTAAGCAATCATGTCGACAACTGCAAACACCACCGCGAAATTCTCCCGCGTCAACGACGAAGAACTCCAAAAGGTCTTCAACCAGTTCGACGCCAACAAGGACGGCAAGATCTCCGTTTCTGAACTCCGCGACGTCTTGAAAGCAATGGGCTCCAGGTACTCAGAGGACGAGCTCAAACGTGTCTTGGAAGACATCGACACCGACAAAGACGGCCTCATCGATCTCTCCGAGTTCTCCACTCTCTGCCGCTCGTCTTCCGATGAAGTCACCGCCGCCTTGGAGATGCGCGACGCCTTCGATTTGTACGATCAGGACAAGAACGGCCTGATCTCGAAGAAGGAGTTGCATCTTGTTCTGAATCGGCTGGGGATGAATAGTTCGGTCGATGATTGTGCTCGGATGATCAAGTCGGTTGATTCCGACGGCGATGGGAATGTCAATTTCGAGGAGTTTCAGAAGATGATGAGTGCTTCGTTGATGAATAGCGACATCGGATCTAAGCCTTAGGATTGAAAGAAATTTGACGGTGAATGATTGATTCCGACGATTCGGTCAAAGGTAAGTTTTAGTCTTTTTATGGCTTTTTTTTATGACCTTGTGGTCGTTTCCAAAAAAAATAATTTCTTCAACATATCTAATGAAATTGCCGTACTTGTTGTATCGAATCAAATGAGAATTTAGCTTGGTTACCATTGACACCAGATTTAAGATTTAGCTAGTTGTGTAACAAATAAATTTGTTTGTCATTTAGATAAATACCACCTTAATTTAGATTTGAATTCTAATCTAAAACTACAAATGTACAATTCATTGGCATCTTATATTACTCCATAATCTAAAATAAAAACATAATAATGCATTGCAAATCCTGTTGACTTTGTTAGTTATTGCACGTTAGCACTCCTAATTTTATGCTTATAATATTAGATTAATTAATGTTTGCGTTGTTTGAATGAATTAATGATGCATGCTTAAAACTGAATCGTGATTGTCTTTATTTTTTTTTATCTGTTTCGGTCTATTTTAGAACATAAATTTTTAATTTTTTTAAAATTATATTTAACGTTTAGTTTTTGTTTCATTTTATTATTTAATCATTAAAAACTAACGTTTTTAATATTTAAACTATTAGTTTTATTTTGTTTTAGTACCTAAATTTTTATTTTTATTTTTGAAATTTATTGTTAAATTTTGAGCATGTACTAAATAAAATAAAAATTAAACTTTAAAAATGATTTTAAAAAATTTAAAATTTAAATATTAAAATATATCAAAATTGATAATTTATATATTAAATATAAAATTTATCCTATAAAATATGATTATGTAGAGGTTTAGTTTTGTTTAATCACGTGTTAGTAGATCTGGGATCACCACAAAAGCACAGCTTTCATAAATTGTTTAATTTATAGATTTGTCGGCATAGAAAAACAATACGATTTTTTCACCATTTACGTTGTGACAATAATAGATTTTCTGCTTATCATGCAACCGAATTCATTATTCATTTCCAAAATGAAACTCTCGAATACCAAGTGTCTGAGACGTTTCTCTAAGAACGACGTCAACTCGTGTCGCCTGTCGTGATCATACTCTGACATATTTTTTCAATGTTTTTAAAATCTGACATGATCTTAAACCGGTGAAAATATTAATTTATTGGTTCAATCGTGATTAAATCGCGATTGAATTGATTTATATAAAATAATAATTTTCTAAAATTTAATATAATACTCAAAGTAATATTAATATATATATATATATAACATTATTTTTAAGTTTACAATATTAAAATGTATAAAAATATCATAAATCATAACATAAATAAGTTAAATACTATAATATTAACTGAAAAAATGATTCAAATCAATTACAACATAATATTTAAGGTTAATACTTAATGAAATTTATCAACAACTAACTAAAAAATATATATAATTAATATAAATATCAATCATCATAATATTTATTAAAATTGATTCCCTCAAATTTCAGGCAAATCTTCATTTTGATAATAACCGTAATTCAACACCAATTTAAATTTCAGCTTGGTCCACATGGATCATAGCATCTTCAGCAAAGCAGTGGCCTTTGTTTTGGTCCTACCACTACAGTGGCTCTGCAGAAGCAACAGCAACTGCGTCAAAACTCCACCCACTATTGCTTTTTCCCTGGCTTCCAATGATTCCTAACACACTTTCATCAACGAGTTAACCGCGCTTTCACTCCCTTCCTGCTCCGTTTGGTTTAATTTTTTTAATAAAAAAATAAAATTATGTGAACCATCAATTCACATTAATTTTATCGATTCTCAACCGATTCATTACAAAATTATTTTTAAAGGTTGATCAGACCGGACAGACAATCAGTTTTCTACTTGATATTGTTTTTCTAATCTATTTTTTTATTATTTCAATAAATATATACACTTGGACTTTTTTAAATCTTAAAATTTAAACAAACTAAATGACTGTCCCTTTTTCCCATATGTATGGAGTAAGGAGAGGTAAGATAGTAGGTTACTCCTAACACCAGGTTGAGAGCAGCTTCCGTAAGAGACCTCCGAATTATGAAATGCCTTCGTGAAACTCGATCCCACGACCTCAAAGTTAAGAACCTTGTGTTCTACCAACTGAACTGGATGGTCATTTCATTAAACAAACTAAAAAAATAAAATTAAACCCTGAAGTAAGACGGTAAACCCTTTCCCCAGGATCGTCAAACACCAACAGTATTAAGTCAAAAGAGTAACGGAACCTTGATGTCATTCACGTAATCATATAGTTTATACGTAAATTATGTATTTAGCCACTCAATTATTCTTATTATTCTGTTTCAGTAAATCAATTATTCTTTTTTTTAAAATTATATATAACATTACGTTTCTGTTTTATTTTTATCACCATAGTTTTAAAAATTAGAACTGTTGATGTTATAATTTTAATTTTTTTTAATGATATCATTATCTTATAGTGATACATAAACATCACATTATTTTTAACGAAAAATGACTAAAATGAAACTAAAACGTAATGTTAAGTATAACTTTTAAAAAAACTAATTAGATGACTAAAATGAAACTGCAAAAATAGTTGGGTGACAAAATACTTAATTTACCTTATATACTATGAGAACATCTCTACCTATTAATTCGATTTTGCCATCATTCTACTTGGGAGTTTTCACAATAGTACATGTATTTTAGTTGCGTTCAGAAACAATTATGGTGTAAGTTTGGATGAACTCTGTACGCCACAACTTCGCAACTATTCTTTCGTTTACCCAGGTCTTTAGAGAAACTCGTCCGCTGTTTAGAATTTATGGAGTTTCATATTCTCTGGTCAAACGTAATTCCTTACCAAGATTACTGACAGTCGAGAGAAATATGTCGGGGTTAAATCTAATGTCAAGCAGTCCTATCTGTTTAATCTAACAACCTACACACAGGCATATAGCCGTCTTATGACACTAGCATTAAAGGCAAGTAATATAAATCCTAATGTGTAAACAATAATTTTTTCATTTCGTTTTATTATTATTATTAAAATTATTATTATTAATATTATATATATTATTATTATTTAATAAATAATTACAACCCAAAGCCCATTTACAAATCAATCCGGAGCCCAATAATTCGGAGGCCCAGATCCAGAACCCTGAGGCCCAACAGACGACCTAACACTCATATAAGGTTTTCATCCCTATTTCCAGCCGCCATCAATCTCATCCGTTGGATCTGGAGAGATCCAACGACCTAAAATGGATCTGGCAGAAACCCTAGGGTTCACCAACCCTAGGGAGATTTCGGCGACGCCTCTACTCCAACTGCTCCGCCGCCTATACTCTAACTGCTCCGCTGTCATGTTCCCCAACCAACCGCTGCCACGACATCAACGCCACACCGAAGACTCCAGAAGCACAAGGATGGCTGCATACTTCACAGATCTATGTTAAGTCACCATCATAGACTTACTATAGATCCACCGAATCCACCATCATCGGGGCTTATAAAAGCCTTCGAACCTGTGAGGAGGAAGAGGAGGAGAAAAAGAGTCAACCAACAAAAAAGATAGCAAGCAAGAGGAAAGCACCAACGACCAGCAACCAAGAGCCACAAACAACCAAAAACCAACAAATATTAAACCGAAAGAGTGAGAACTTACCAAAGAGGATTCCACGGTCACCGGAGAAACAACGAACATCCACGCGTCACGCAAAGATTCGAAATACCCGAAGGTATTTTTGTAGATCTACGTAAATATGACGTGTTTTATAGAAAAAGGGGGTTGAATTCAGTTTTAGATCATTTCGATCTATCTTTTGAGAGGGTTTTATATTTTCCGACCACCGGTGATGGTGGCCGACGGTGGGGTTAGTGGCGTCGTGCGGCGGCTGGCTAGGGATCAGTTTTCCTTATGGCGAAGGAAACTAGAGAGAAGACAGAGCTTCTCTCTCATATAGAGAGAAGCAAAATGGGAAATATGGAGAAAAATGGCCTAAAGACCGGTTTAATAGGGTCTTTATACCCTCCGTTAAACGACGTCGTTTAACAGAGGGACCTTTTGCATAATTTTCGTATAGGGTAAAATACAGTATAGGTCCATTAAGTTTGTATACTTCTATTTTTTTCACTGAAATCAATATCTGTAAGTTTTAATTTGGTCTTCTAATTTTATTTTATTTATAATTTAGTCATTATCAGTAAATATATATATTTATAGTAAATAATAGATTTAGTCCCTCAAATTTTAATAATTTATATTTTAATCATTGGTTAATAATCAAAATTAAATATATATTTCATAATATTTTGAATTAGAGCCTTTAATTTTGGTATTTTACATTTTAATTACTGATATGTTAGTATTTTTTTTTACCATAAGTTTATTTTTTTTAATTTAGTGTTATAATTTTAATTATTTTATTTTGGTTATTATCTAATTGCAATTTTATTTTATTTCTATTATTATTTTTAATACTTTAATTATTATCTTTCATTTTATCTTTATTTAATTTTAGTCATTAATTAATATATATATATATGCCCCTTAATTCACGTATTAATAGTTGTATAGTTGAAACCAAGTAATTGATTAAAAGACCCCCTAATTCAAACAAAAAAAAATGATGCTTTTGTTTTATCTATTATAAAAATAAAACTTTTTGTTTTGATAGAAAAGTAAAACTTACTCTGCTTTTACATTGAAAAACTCCAATATTAATTGTGTGTTTCTTGTTGAAATCAAATCTCTGCTTTTGAGTTAAATTACTTTAGTTATATACTTTAAGGTAAAATAACCTATTTAACCCTATTAATTTTAATTAATTTTATTTATATCCTGAATAAATTATTATGATTAAATTATACTTTATGCTTATATTACATGCTATTTAGAATTAGTATTTTTAATTTTGATATTTTATATTTTAATAATGTTTTAAATAACTTTAATATTTTAATTAGATTTTATTATTATTTTTAATTATTATTAATCATATATTTTTATATTTTTTATTAC